ATATGGATGAATTATGTTTGTAAAGTATTAAAGAAAATGATTAGAAAAAGGGTGAATTTGTACAGATAGTTAGCTAGTTGCAGGTTGATCTTGAATAAGCAAAGGGGCAATGGATTGTATTTTTTGTATCTAATTCGTTTGTAAATTTTTGTTACAACTCCTACTGATTTGTTTTATCGTTCCATGGAACGATTATTTGTATGACATTAAATTTATGCATTGGATTCTATTTTTTGTATATTATATTTTAATTTCTATTATGAAGCATTAAATACAAATTTAATTTGAAAATAAGTAAACTGATAAATAATATTTTTTAAACATTAAAATTATGATACGCAAAAATGTTGTGTCATCTTCATTTATGACATGGCCTTTCTTGACACAGGCTTTCTTGATACGCATTTGCGTGTCATTAACACGCGCGTCGTAAGGATACGACACGCGAATGCGTGTTGTCTTTTCCTTAATACACATTGCTTGTCATAAACGCGCGTCGTCTATAGACGACGTGCAAGAGCGCACCATCTCTCTTTATGACTGGGTCTTCCTTGATGCACATTTGCGCGTCGTCTAAGCCTTTTACGACGCGCAATGGGCGTCGTAAAAGGCTGTTTTCTAGTAGTGAGGAGTTTATTTTTTGAAATTCCAGCGCCTATTTCTCTATCATCAAATAAATGAAGGCCTGCTAATATGGGTAAACATATTTCAAAGAAGAAGAGAAGAAAAGCAAATGAACATCTCTTCTGAATCTACAGCCGACGAAGATGAAACAATTCCAGAAACTCCTAAAGCCATTCTTCAAAAAGATACTTCTAATCCTTCACAGACAGCTGTTATACCACCCGAAGATTCGGTTGCCAAGTCATTATCTGAGGAGGCACAAACTTCTAACATTCTTGTGAACTTATATAATACGGATGCAAATGTTATCATGGGTGAGGATGATTCGAAGAAAGATGACAAAGGTAAACCTTTGATTGTTACCTCAGAAACTTTTGTTTCTTTTCCTCCACAAATTACACCTGTCATACCCATTACTTCCACCATAGATTCTCCTACATTCGAAAACATTATCAACATCCAATTACTTCTCTTTTTCTCTTCTCAATCCACTGATCAATCCACAACCACTTCACCAATTCAAGAATCTATTTTTATGGTGACTGAGAATGAATCTAAAGGTTTTGGAGGAATTTTATGAACTTGGAATTTGATGAAGACGAAGCTGATTTCCCAGATCATATGCTTATGAAAATGAAGCAGTTTAAAATCTTGAATACAAAGCTGAATTCAATTCTTCAATCACAAGCAGATCTTGGGGGAGGTAATTTTGTACCGAGTTTAGAAGTTGATGGTTTGTTAAAATTTCTAGAAGGCAGGATCATTTCAAAAGTTTCGGGTATGATCAAAGATTCTGAGTCTCGTATTTTGGAGAAAGTTGATATATGTGATCATAACAATGAGATAAGGGTGAATTCTCAGAAGTCCACATTTGTAGGAGATTTGAAAGAATTGAGACTGGCGACCAAGGAACGTCATCTATTGTTCATTCAAGATGTTAAAAAGGTGCCTGAGGATGTCAAATTTAAACTTCAAGAGCTTCGTTAAGATATGGAAAGAGAGATTGTATGTGTTCGCACAGAATATGGTTCTCTAAATCAAAAGGTTGACATAATTTGTGATGCTGTGACGAAATTTGTTAAGTTGTATGATAGTTTGAGTCCTCAAATATCTCAACTTTCTACCACTGAAAACAAAAGTTTTATGGAGGTCCTCACTTTGTTAAAGGAGCTCAAAGCATTATCTACAAAGCCAGTTTCATCTTCTCAACTGTCTTCGGATGTTCTATTCCAAAAATTTTCTAAATTTGAAGAAATACTTCTTCAACAGTTGGCTCCTCTTTCTTGCATATCCAACCTTCTTCCAAAAACAGATGCCCAGCCTGTTTTTATAAGGGTGCAAGGGGGAGAAAGGAAGGGTGAAGTTTCGAAGGCTGGTGGTGATGATGCGAAGGTGGTGGGAAAGGTATTTTCTTCGAAGATTCCAACTACAAAACCAATCATAGATACTGATGGTCCGATTTCTTCGACTGTACTGACAACCGTGCCAATTACAAGATGAATTACAATAGGTATTGTGAGTGGTAAATATGCTAATGTTGGTGGGAGTGATTCAAAAATGAAAGAAGTAATAGAAGTTTCAGCTTCGAAGGCAACAGGAAAAACAATTTTGATAGAAAAGTCAAAGGAAGAAAAGAAGGCTAAGGTTGAGGCTGAACTAGAGAGGATGAGATTAGTACAGAGTATAATGACACAAAGAGCAAGTTATCCTCCAGGCATGAACAAAGGTGATCCATCAAAGCATTATAACTACGAAATAGTTGAAGCCAAGGTTGCATTCAATCATATGTATTCATTCGAAAAGAAGCCAAAACAGAGCTACATAGTTACGAATACTGATGCAAGTTAATTGGACTTTCCAATCAATGAGATGATGTTCATCATGCCCCAGTTCAAAGCCGAAAGCAAATTCAAAGAGAAGGATGAAGGAAAACATATGAAGATCAGCTTTCATGCAGTCCTTGCTAAAACTGCTGAAGAGGTGTGGTCACTAATAAAGATAAAGAAAGTGATCAACATAAAGAAGGATGTTGTTTTTGAAAACACACATCATACTACACACATCATAATCAAAAAGTTTATAACATCAATTCCGATAATATACTATATTCACTATTGTTATTGTGGCCTTTCAGGTTTTGTTCAAGAATCTAAATGTTGATTTGAAGGAAGTAAGCCCATCATCCCTTCTTATGGACAAAGTAAGAGAAGTTGAAGGAAACCATGATTTTTCCAACAAGATGTCAGGTCATCTCAACAACCACCAATGGTTGGAGAAGTTAAAAAAACAAAGTATTATCTTATTGATTAGCGATTAATGGTGTTGAGCTTTAAGCAGTTTCAGGCCCTCTATTTATTAATCTTTTATAAGCTAGATTGTTGTTTTCTTTCCTTTTTATAAGTTGAATTGTTGCTAGAAATTATAGTCATTTATTCAAAGAAGGTGTTGGAATGTGAGTTCAAATTGATGACCCTTTTACATATAAATTTGATTAACAGATTGTACAATGAAATGAAAAGAATAATTATGGGAAGGAGGTTAAGTATTAATCTCATGAATGTTGCAAACGTATTTGTTTCTCTCACTTCACCTTTGGAAGGACCTGGCACATGTCTATATTGCAGAACCTGTAAGTTTTTTCCCTTTCTTTTCTGGGTAAACTACAGGAAATAACCTCCTAGTTTATTACTCTGTATAGGATGTATATGTAACAATTCTTTACCCATGATATCAAACAGGAAAATGAGGTAGCTAACTAAACTAACTACTTCAATTTTCATATACTTCAATAAAAAATCAAATATATTATGTTTGTTAATGATTTTGTATTGCAGGTACCTTTTCAACACTTTGCTGATAAAATTGGTGGCTGTCTTTTGAGGATGAATTCCACCTCAATGCGTTCCTTTTATCCCCATCAAATACACCCCAATACGTTGTTATTATTTTATTTCTTCAAATTTTGTGTTTGCAGGTCATGTTGGTTTTTGTCAATTTTTTCAGAGATTCCTGACAACACATTTCTAGTTTAAGTTATCATCATTAGTTAAAGATCATCATTTGATGACATCATGTGATTTTTTTTTCAGATCTATGAGTGGAGTTGTAAGTGTTGTAATAGGAGGAGTTATTAGGTGTTTAGACGTGCATACCAAAGATAACAAGTATTGGCTTTATCTCATAAACCATGTCTCAAAACCTAAGTTCACCGTCCTATTTCACTTACAGGTATGTGATTATTTATTTGTTTTACTTTTTTTTAATTTCAAAACAAACATTTACAATTTTTTTTACTAGGCCCTTTTAGTTGGTTTAGCATCTATGTTGGTGTACCTGTGAACATCTCATAGAACCGAAAACTGTGAACTTCAACATCTCTATGTTTAACAACCTAAGCAAATGACCAAAACTGATAGAACAATATACCACAGGGGCCAGATTTGTAATTCTCATATGTTTGTAAATTAAGGTTTATAACATTTAACACGTGCATAATACTCTTTTTAAATTTATAATATTTTTGGTGTATATTGTAAATTTAATCGTTTGTTAATATATTAATATAAATTTACTTACTCTATAATTATTATAAATTTAAGAAAAGAAATCAAACGTACATAAAATGCTATACTCAGAAGATAAGAGAAAATTATATATTTGGTCCCTATGGTATAGTTATACAACACTGAGACCAGAGTCGTTAGGAAACTTCAAAATTAAGGACCATATTTGCAAAAGAAATCTTTTGTGACCAAAATTGCAAAAAATAGCTATAC